AAAGTCGTTGTACCATTTTACATTCCCACCAACAGTGTATAAGTGTTCCAGTCTCTCCACAACCTCTCCAGCATTTATTATTTTGTGTTTTTTGGATTAGTGCTAGCCTTGTACACCATTGTATTTCTAATACCTAGCATGATTCCTGCACTTGGCAGACATACAATAAATATTAGAATAAATGAATGTGTAAATTCAGGCAAAACTTAGAGCGTAGAGGTTATATATTGGTTCGTGGGAATCAAAGCCAGAAAGGCAACTTGATGCCACATTGTGAAGGCTTTTACTTCCATGCTGAAATGTAAAGCCAGATTATGAGGGGGGCCAGATTGCTTGTTGGGAGCAGTGAGGGCTGGGGCTAATGGGTAAGTTATCCCTGGGCTGGGATATAGATATATCTTGATGCCCAGATCAGGAGTTTTAGTGCAAGAATAGAAGCAGAAGCCAGTTGTCAGTATTAAAAAGGCAGTAGAAGGTGAGGTATTGGGACCATGGGTATACAGTATTTGTTTTAGAAGCTTAACTGGATGGTAACTGAGGAGATCAAAGAAAAGAGTCCTTTAGAGAGAGGAGGGGGCCTTTAGGTTTTGAAGGTGAAAGAAAAGGAAACAGTGTAAGAAATTCATAAAATGAGGAGACTCTGTAAGGCATGTAATTGGAGGGGAACACAAAAAGTGTTTCCGTTGAAGGCCTCTTGGGAGTTGGGAAGTGGTCAAATCTAGGGCAGTTGAATGACTTTATTTCAGAGTGGAAGAACTATGAAGCAGTATACTCGATAGACTACTTCAGACAGGCCAAGTTACCCCAGTAAGTAACCATTCCTCTGACTCTAAGCCTTGTGGGAAGGTAAGAAGAAATAAACGATAAAGCTAGAAATCTCTTGAGCTCAAGGGAGGGGAACTACCTCACGAAAACCATGCCATGTCAAGAGGAACGCTTAATGTAATTTGGACATTCTGGTGCCTCCTGGAGAGCACTGAAATGATACAGGACCTTGAAAGTCTTACTTTGGATTTCCGTGACTTTATCATTTTGCAGGTATCTAAATGTAGTCCATTATGTAGTTCATTGCTGTCGCTTTGATGCTTTTTATTATTTACAAATGCTCTACTGATTCGTGGGTTCTTGAAATTATGTCATTGCATGTGATGTTTACCCTGATAGATGCATTTGCTTATAATTCTTTTTGCTTTGTCCTCAGTTCAGATATTTTGGATGGCAGTAGTAGCAGCAGTGGCTTGTCCTCAGAATCCCTGGCTAAAGGCAGCACTCCCGCAGAGTCTCCAGTAGCATGCTCCAATTCATGCTCCTCGTTCATCTTGATGGATGATCTCTCACCCAAGTGACTTAACCATTTCTGATTCAGCGTTTTAACTGCTGTTTCCTATAGAACACATTTAGTGAGAAACGTAGAGAATTTTGATCCCTAATGAGGATTAAAGTTTTACAGCTTTATTAAACCATTTGAATGGATGCCATTATCTTTTGGCATCTCTCCTCTAAAGTCAAATTTTGCAAGTGTATTGACCTTACTAATGTCTGTTTTCTCTGATCTCCCTTTGGATGTAGTGTCAAATCTCAAATACTCATTTTTGATTGCTTAGATGATTGCTTAGAGTCTAATTTTTTTTTCTTGGGGCCTCAAGGGCACCTATTTTAGAGTCTGTAAGTTTAAGGAAAGTACTGATACGTATTTTCGATCATGGTTCTTTTTCACAGCAGTGATATGACAGGTAGAGTTGATCAGAAATTCTCTTGCTTGAGAGATTTTTTTTTTTTTTTTTTTGGTTCTCTGTTGACTACATGGTATCAAATCTCTTTATTTCACAATAATAGAAGACTTACTTTTGATTATATTAGGTTTTTTTTTCTTTTTCTGCATCAGCTTAAAGTACATTATTTTATTTCCCTTTCCTGTTTGAGCTGCTTACTTGCCATTTCTCACAGAGGGGAAGAAACGCGTAGTTGCTTTCATGACTATTCACATTGCTTCTTTGCTGTTGAAGTGTCTGAAGTGAGGATTGATTTTAGTATTGAGAATGTGAGTGGACGTACAGGCTGCCTGGATTAGTCACCACAGATTCTTATGACTTAGCTACCATAGCTGATATTTTTCTCCCCCAACCTGTTGTCCTAAGGAATATATAAAATATTGTTAATGTTTCTAGGTGGTGTTATCAAGGAGAAGAAATTCCTGCCTTGACCAGATGTGTGGAGCATCTACAAATGAATGAATAATGTTATTTACCCACAAACCACTGTGTAGAAAAGCCTACACGGAGCTGTCAGTGTCTCGGGTGGTGTTACGAGGCCGTAGGTGCCTTGGGGTGCACTGTTATGCTGTAAGGGATGTGTATCATAAGGTAGGGTGGAAAGGGGGGCTTTCTGTGTGTGATTGCCACATGCTGTTTCTGTTGCTGCTTTTTCGGTTTACTTTTTGTCATTGGACTCACTCGTTTTGTCGTGTGGAGATTGGTGCTGCTCTGACTGTGCTTTGGCTATTGTGTTGCCATCAGAATGGAAGTCCAGTTCTTGCTCCTGCTGCCTGATAGTCAGGGCCGTTTACTATCTAGGAGGAATCTTTTAAGAGTTGAAAAATTCAATGTTTTGTGCATTCTGCTTTTAAGAAGCTGTTTGAACTACGAACAAGGAGCCCTTGGTGGTGCAGCAGTTAAAGCGCTTGGCTGCGAACCGAAAGGTTGGCGGTTCGAACCCACCAGCCGCTCCGTGGGAGAAAAGACCTGGCGATCTGCTTCTGTAAAGATTACAGCCTTGGAGACCCTGTGGGGCAGTTCTACCCCGTCCTGTAGGGTCACTATGAGTTGGAATTGACTCGACGGCAACAGGTTTGGGGTTTTTGGTTCGAACTATGAATGTTGTACGTAAGTCTGAGGTATCATAAATTATTTAAGTTTTAAAAGAGGAAAATCACGACTGAGCTATTTAAAAAGCCTGCCTGTAATTTATTGTTATTTATTATCTATAACTGTGAAAAAACGTCTGTGGTGATAGATTTTTTTTTTAATGCTGAGCTGCCATGGTTGGATTGTCTGTATTTAATATGCAAATTTGCCTGCTAGGCTCATCATCCATTCTTAAATGATTGTCAGCATCAAAAACCACACTGCATTTGTGTCTTTTGAAGGCAAAGATCATTGAATTTTAAAGGAAGATGATGTGCTCTGAAGGTACTCATGGACTAGTAATGTTGTGTGGCCTGAAGGGAGACCTAGTCACTTAGCTTGTGGTTGTTCTGTTACAGCATCATATGTGTTCTTTATTTTAACGGGTAGTAACTGCTGTAGTGGCCATTAATGGTTTGCTTTCTTGTATTGCTTTTATCTGTGCAAAGTCCATAGTCCTTCAACCTAACAAAAATGTGTATATTATGAAGATTGTTTCCTGGTATGCCATTTTAAAGAAAAATTATTCCGATAGTATTCAGTGTAATTATTTGTCTGAGAACCATGTTTAGCTGTTTCTGCCTATAAGAAGAGATGATTTCATCTTGTAGCATATTTATCCACCTTCACTCTACTGTCTTCTTTGCCTTAAAGGGACACTTTTGGCCATCTTTTTTGGGCTGTAATTTAGGGCTGTTAAGAAATAACCTTTGAAATGTAGTGTTAGTTAAATTTCTTTTTGAAATTATAGTAATCCTGTAGGGGGTTGGGGGGTAGAATTGGGGCAGGAGAATGAGACTGTCCAGGTGGTATGAGAACTAGGAGGGAAGATGATTTGTTTTATTGTTTAAACCAATGTTCATGTTTATTGTTTAAATTGACTAGAAAGTTCAGTTTGTGCAGGAAGTGTTCTGAAATAAATAAAAGATATGCTCACTCTCGAACGAGCTTTGCTGACAGTACCCCTTTATTTTTATATAAAGTCTAATATTTGAAAAGTAATCATTGTTATAAAGTAAAATACTTTCTTCCTATTCTAATATTATATCACATATTTCAGGCTTCTCTTTGAAAATAAGTATGAGAGTTGATACAAGAAAATCCTATACATAAACTGTTTTTGCTTGACTGACTTATATAATCACTGTGTTTCATATTAACTGCTTTTGGAATAATAGGAAGTTTTGTGAAATGCTGGCCTTGTGTATATCTTAGAATGCAAATTTAATAAAGTGTGTACACATGCATAAAATTTTGTAATTTTTTAAAAGTCTCTTTTACTGATAATTATTTTCTGCATCCATATCCCAATATTTCATTCTCTGTCTAATTGCAGGTCAAGTTTTGAATAAAAAATATCAGGAACACAAAAGAATTAATAGCTTTATCGAAGTTTGGGCAGTTTCCAAAAACAAAGAGAAACCTCTTCACATAATCTGTCAAATTTTCAAGAGCATTTTATAAAACCTGACAATTTAGAAGGTTCTGATCAAGCTCGCATGTATTTCTTACTTGATTTCAACTTATTTTATGTTGTTATTTTTTTTTACCTATTTATAAGCCACTATAAATTGTTTTTTGAACAAGATGGAGTACCAGTCAAAGAATCGAAGCCTTTTATGCATGCCTCAGGTTATAAACACTCAATTTTATTTTCCGTTTTAAAAAAAAAATTAAAGATTTTGTTTTAAAATACTTTTCATTTTGTAATAATTTCAAACTTAGAGAAAAGTTGCAAGAATAGCACAAAGAACTCCTGTATATCCTTCACCCAGGTTCCCCAGTTGTTAACACATTCGCATATTTACTTTATCATTTTTTCTCTATATATCTATCTATATGTATACATGTATTTTTTTCTGAACCATCCAAGAGTAAGTTTCAGACATGATGCTCCATTACGCCTAAGTGCTTCAGTGTAAACTTCCTAAAGGCAAGGACATTCTTACCTATAACCATATTCAACAACAACAACAAAAAACCTGGTAACTGTCGAGTCGATTCCGACTCATGGTGACCCTATGTGTTACAGAGTAGAACTGCTCCATAGGATTCTCTTGGCTGTAATCTTTATGGAAGCAGTTTGCCAGGCCTTTCTTCCAAAGAGCGGCTGGATGGGTTTGAACCATTAACCTTTAGGTTAGCAGCTGATTGCAAACCATTTGTGCCTGTCAAAATCAGGAAATTAACTTTGATACAAAACTGCCAACTAACCTATAGACCTCATTCAAATTTTTCCTATCATCCCAATAATGCTCTTTTAGCAAAAGGAAAAATTTTTTCTTCTGGTGTCAGATTTGATCCAGGATTATGTATTATACCTAGTTACGTCTTCAGCCTCCTTCAATCTGGAAGTTCCTTAGTCTTGTCTTTTGTGACCTTCATATTTTTGATAAGTACCAGCCAGTTATTTTGAAAAATATCCCTCAATTTTGGTTTGTTGGCTGTTTCCTCATGATTAAATTCAGGTTATGCATTTTGGGCAGAAATACCACAGAACTGATGCTGTGTTCTCAGTGTATCATTTCAGGAGGCACGTGACGTCAATTTATTCTATCACTGCTGATGGTAACCGTGGTCCCTTGGTTAAGGTGGTGTTTACTGTGTTTCTCCACTCTTTTTCCCTTAGAAATTATTTTGTGCGGATATACTTGGAGGCTATATAAATATCCTGTGTCCTCATCAAACTTTCACCCACTAGTTTTAGTGCCCAATGATCTTTCTTGCCTGATGGTATTATGATGGCTACCTAATGACTAACTCCATCATTCCTTCTACATTTATAAGTTGGCATTCTACTGTAAGGAAGAACTTACCCTTTTCACCATTTTTTATCATATATTTATTTCTTTGCATCTGTGTGGACTCAGATTCCTATGTTAATCAGTGGGTTTTAATCCATTACCACTATTATTTTGGTATTCAAATTGTCCCAGATTTGGACAGTGGGAGCCCCTTCAAACTGGCTTCTATATCCTTTTGACAAATCCCTATAGTTATTTGAACAGTTTTTAGCTTTCTGACATAAGATGTCCCACACTCATACTTTCCTTGCACCAGCTCTGGGATCAGCCATTTCTCCAAGGAGCCTTGATTCCTTTCAATGGAGAATGGTATTTAAAAACCAGAATCTGGGGACTAGGTGTGATCATCGGTACTGAGACATCATTGTTTCAAAGGGTTTCTCAGAGCATGGAGAAAATACACACCATACAAATGTATATGTATATACATACAGATCTATATCTTTCTATATCACTATTAAAAATTGTGTATTTAAACTAGTACCTCTGATTCCGGTTCAACACCACAGGGTTCGTTCCAGCCTTCATTCTACCCATATTTGTAATGCCATTCTCTGACAGTGAGAAACCTGGCTCCCTTTATCCTCAATGTAATTGCTTATTTCCCCCGTATGTAACCAATTTCTGACCCTGCCAGCCACCACCTTGGCTGCATCCCCAGCCCCAGCCATCTTCTTGGTTCCAACCCTGTGTGCCCCTCCAGCCTTGCCAGTCCTGGCTGCCTCTACAGACTACTCAAGTTTCAAACATTTGCAGCTCACACCCACCCCAACCACTACCCCCAAGCTCCTTTTTCACTGTTTAACTGTTCACAGCTCAGGAATTTCTGATATTCATCACTTTAACAAATATTTATTGAGCTGGGAACTGCAAATGGAGATTGTGCCTTCCAGGAGCCCAGCCTAGTGAAATAAACAGAAGTACACTGACCACTGCAGGCACCAGTTACTGTGTTGGGGAGCACAAAAGAAGAGTACCCAACATAGCTTGGGTTGTGGTTCTGCAACGCTTTTTAAAAAGAGAGAACACTGAAGCTGAATCTTAAAGAGCAAACTTGGGGTAGGGGTGGGAGTCAGGCAGAGGAAAATAGGATCCAGGCAAGAGACCGTGGAGCTATCACAGAAATGCAAGTACTTTGCTGATATGGGCAATGAGGCTGGAGAGGGAAATGGGCCACATCTGGTCTTGCAGGATTTGGGAGTCTTTAGCTTATGCAGGTGGAAGCTAGGACGTTATGGGTGTAGATGAAAACAGGGAGCTTGTGTGGAGAAGAGCGTTAGGGACAAAATCCTGAGAAAAGCATCAACATTTAAGAGGCAGGTTGAAGAAGAGATGGGGTGGCAAAAGCAGTAGGAGAAAACCCTGGAGAAAGCAGTGATCAGTATCGGTGAAGCTATGGAGGTCGTGGTCTACCATTAAGGCGAGGGCTGAAAATTTCTTGTTGGATCTGATAAAGTCTCGTGGAGACTTTCCTTAGTGTACTTTCAATGAGGTGGAAGGGGCAGAAGTTGGATTGCAGTGGTTTGAATAACCAGGGGTTGAGGAATGGAGACACAAGCAGTATAGTCTATATCCCGCATCTTCTATAATTTCCCCCCTCCCCTTCTTTCTCATCCCTTGCTCAATTATTCCGACTCATAGCAACCCTATAGGACAGAGTACAACTGCCACACAGGGTTGCCAAGGGGCGGCTGGTGGCTTCGAACTGCCGACCTTTTGGTTAGCAGCTGAGCTCTTAACCACTGCACCACCAGGGCTCCTGCTCAATTATAACACCAAATATTTCCCATTTCTCTTTCTGTATCTTCAGCAGCTAGCATTGTATCTGAAATATAATCCAGTCATTCCAGTTGTTGTCGAGTTGACTCCGACTCATGGCAACCCCATGTGTGTCAGAGTAGAACTGTGCTCCAGAGGGTTTTCAATGGCTGATTTTTTGGAAGTAGATTGCCAGGCCTTTTTTGTGAGGCACCTCTGGCTGACTCAAACCACCAGCCTTTTGATTAGCAGCTGAGTGCGTTAACCGTTTGCATCACCCAGAGATTCACTGAAATATAATAGTCACTCAATAAAATTTTGTTGAATGCTAACTCCACGCTCGAACCCCTAGAGGGAGCCAAAAGAAAATCACTCTAACCTATAGAGGAGCTGAAAGAAAATCACAGGGCGGTGTTAACCTATAGAAGGAGCTGAAAGAAAATGACAAGGCAGTGTTAACCTATAGAAGGAGCTGAAAGAAAATCACAGAGAGTGTTAACCTATAGCGAGAGCTGAAAGAAAATCATCGTGTGAGGGGATTGTTAGCCACACACTCTAACCTCTAGGAGGAGCACCAAGCTTCTGGTCCTCCAGACATTCCTGAGGTAAACTTGCCTGAGGCGGCTTCGTGGAGAGAAGTGTTACCCCTAGGTAATATTTATTAATACTGTATATACCTAGTATATGCTTATTTGTGGCATGTGGTACTGTTTTTCCATTTATGATAGCGATATGAAGGTTTCTGTTAAAATTGCATTTAGCAAGTAACATTTAAGAATACGTATTTTTTAAATAAATATAACAAAGAAAAAGTTAATTTAAAGAAACATCTAAATATACAATAGTATGGGTGATAGAAAATCTAGATATGGCCAAAATCTTAAAATTAGAATATGAATAAAAACTTTGATGGAGGAAAGTATTGGGTCACAGTGGTGTGTGAAATTGTTTGTATGAAGAGGTTCAAAGCTGTGTGGCATTGTTGGTATGAAGTGGTTAAAAGCTGTTGAATCTATGTGGAATGCTCTTTTCTGGGTTCCTCTCTGGATTTTCTCTTTTGTGGATTTTGCTTTTTCTTTTCTTATGAGGTGTGGTAAGAGAGGTCTGGCCACCTCTCCTTTAGTTTCTGAGGAGGTGACACCCCCGTCCCACCTTGAAGGTCCAAGGGGAACTTGGATGGGGCTGGGGGGGAAAGGGGTTAACAAGTAGTTTAGGCCTGCTCTGTCCTACACCTTAAATTTAGGGTGACCAACTGTCCTGGTTTGCTCAGAACTGAGGAGTTTCTCAGGGACTTTCAGTACTAAAACAAGGAACGTCCCGGGCACACTGGGAAACGTTAGTCAGTGTGAAAGGGTCCTCACCTTCCTTAGGTGTGGTTATCCATGAGTTTATATTTCCTGCCTGTGTCTTCTAACTAAAGAGTGGTTCAAAATAAAAAAACAAAAAACAAAAAACAAAACCTGTTGCCGTTGATTTCGACTCACAGCGACCCTATAGGGCAGAGTAGAACTGCCCCATACGGTTTCCAGGGAGCACCTGGTGGATTTGAACTGCTGACCTTTTGGTTAGCAGCCATAGCTCATAACCACCACACCACAGGGTTCCCAAAGAGTGGTTAGATCTCCTGAATGTAGCCCTCAGAGAGAGAAGCTTCTGGTCTGGGCCACTGAGGAGTCTTTAGTCTAACCTATCAG